GGAGAAGGTGGAGAAAGGGTATCTGCCCCATAATTTGGCAGTGGCCATCCTGAGAGGCAGATGCTGTGAAGGGACAGTGTGGGAGCAGACTGTGGGTTCCCAGCAAAGACTTGATTCTTTCAGCCTTCACTTTTCTTTTCCCGTTGGGCCTTTTTTCCCCTTTTAGCAGCAGGGAGTCAACCTCAAGGGGAACTGTCCCTCCTTCCCAGCCCGTCCCAGGCACCGTAACTTTGATGCTTAATTTCGTTAGGGCAGGTGGAGATGTCTCTCGCAAGGTGCAGGAGCTGCTGAATGATCCAACAGCAGCAAACCCAACAGGCAGCAGAGAGAAGCACTGGGCTAAAGCACACCTTGCCCAGGCGGCCAGCGCTTGACAGGGACTGAGTGGGGATGTGGATGTTTGCAGAGCAAACGCTGCGATCGAGAGGCTTTGGGAGCTGTACCTGGTGCTTGCTGCTGTTGTTTGAAGAGCAAAGAATGAGAGCAGCCTAGGGAAGACGAACTAAAAAGCAAACCCAAGGAAGCAAACAGTAAACCAGCCCATGTTTCTGGGTGGTTTGTGTGAGTGTAAGATCGCCTTTAGCAATCCAGGTGCTTTCGGCTGTGTTACTGTGATGGCAGCTCCATCAAACCAGCAGATCCTCTGATTTGAGCTCTGTGACAGTGCAGCACAGCCTGATTTTGGAAAGAAAAACCAGTTTGCAGTGATCTGCCTTAGCATCCAGACCTGATGTGATACTCCAAAGAAAATATGCTCTCCGGGCAACTTTGCTCTGTGAAGCAAAATCAAATTACAGGCAAATTGGACTGCAGATGCACTCACACAACCCACGCAGCAAGGTAGATAAGCTACTTAGAAGCTAGGTGTGAATTTTGGGTATATGTTCTACTGCGGGCGGTGCGGCTGGCGGGGGTACCGAGGCAGCTCCAACCCCGGAGCACTGCCTGTCGGCACGTACGCAGTGGGGTTAGTAGCCACCCAGACCGAACAGTGGCTCCTGTGGATCTAGAAAGGTTAATATCTCTAATCTACAGACATCAAAAGAGCGATCCACCTACTTATGCAGGGGGCAATGGGAGACCGGCTCTGCTGGTAGCCTTTGGCGCATCGATTGCACGTGATGCCGGTGACACCGTCTTTACAGGGACATTGGCCCGTGGTTTGGTTACAGGTTTGGCCGGCAGCGCCCACGGGATGGCAATCGCACTCTGTGGGGGAACACACAACAAGAGGGTCAGGAGGAGAGGAGAGCGGGTTCAGGAGGCTCTTGCAGCATGGCTCCACGTTCTCCGCAGCCGGCGCTGGACCTCCGGCCAACATCCCGTCCAGCCAGAGACCGCACTGACCTGAAACAGAGGTGGCATTTGGCAGAGGGGGTGCACACGGCCATCGCTTGGGTGCAGAGGGGGTAGCACCAGAGAGGGGTGGCCCAGCCACAGCTCGTCCTGCTGTGGAGATGGAGTTGCGGCCAGGACGTCTTGCCCAGGGCCATGAGCCCTCTGCAGATGTGGGGAGGCAGTGTGGGGTGTCCCTGCTCAAGGATACCCGCCCAGGGGCACTGCAACTACCTCATCCCACGGGTGCTGTGGTCAAGAGTTTCAAGGACTTGAATAGGAGAGGAGCAGGGAGGGCAGCACAGCTGGAGAGGCTCCGGGAGCTGAGCACCCACCGGCTCACCACAGCAGGCTTTATTGGCTCCTGGGAGCAGTGGCAGGTCTGTAGGGATGAGGCAGAAAATCAAGGAGCATTTCATCACTCCTTCAGCACACGAGATACCAGGCAGGAAGCAATTGCTTTCAGAGACTTTGGGAATTCATTTCACGTGCGCTACAAGAAAAAAAAAACCCCAAAACCTTCCTTTCAGAGCTTTCGCTCGAGCCCTTCCCCGCTGAGCAGCATCGCTGGCAGCTGGCACCGCGGGCGCAGGAAGGAAATGCCCTTGTGGGATGCAGGCAGGCTGGAGGACCTGCTGTTCCCGGCCAGATGGATGGAGGCTCGACGGCAGAGCTGGGCAGATGTGAAGGGTTTGGCAGGGGATGTAAGTACTGCACTTGAAATCATTCACCATCTCATTTCCCACAGTGGGACTATTGAGGCTTGTTATCATCACTGCTCCAAAAGGATTATGGCCTCGCACATTTGTTAACAGCCCTGATTTCTAAGAGCTGCAAGCGCCGTGCCAGACTGCGGTCTGCCCCTGCTGAGCGGTGGCAGGGAAAGGCAGGAACGCTTTCCTTTTCCTGTGCAGCCTCCTGGGGAAGCAGCCAGCCAAAACCCTCCCCGGGGAGCACTGATCCCACTCTCCTTGTGCCCCTCGGGCGAGCTGCCTGCCAGAAAGGGGGTTTGGGGCAAAACCTGCCCCGTGGCCCAAAACCTGGAGGGGGTTTGTCTGTGGGTCAGGACCAGTGCAAGTGTTTCCATGGGCTCCAGTGGCTGGGCTTGTTGTGGGTGGGCTGAACCTTGTCTCCACCCCGCCCCAGCCCCATCCTGCTCCTGCTCCCTGCACCAGCCGCCCCCAGTTTGACCTTTACTGGGCAGCAGCTCCCGGGCTCGTCCGCCTCCCCAGTGGGGTTTGGACAGTGCCTGGAGCCCCTCTGCACTGGGAATGTCCCCTTCTCCCAGCACGGGGCATCCCATCCCCACACAGCCCACCCTGGAGCACGAGCAAACTGCTGCTGTCCCCTGGCTCCACCAGCACTGGATGGGAAGAGACGGAACCTTGCCAAAACCTGCTGATTTTTCATGAGAGGGGAAAAAAAACCCAACAACAAAGCTTTTCCTTCTTTTCTCCTCCTTCTCTAACACTTCTGATTCGAGGTTTTTGGTTAGACGTCCTGCTCTTGCCCCCTACTCTGCCTCCAGTTCTCTCTGGGAACCAGCCACTTGCAAACCTCTGCCTGTAGCGGAAAATCTGCTTTTCTGTCAAACCCTGTTTTGATTGGAAAAGTTTTAACAATAAATCAGTGTGGCTGGTGATGGGCACAGAGACCAGAGCGACATTTAGGTAGGAAAAGCAGCACACGGCAGCCCCAGGGGATGGCTTCAATATTGCTGGGGGAGAGGAAATAAAAATACATGGAGCAAGCGCCTGAAGAAGGAACAGG